TGCTGGGATAAAACGATCGCGCCAACTTTATATCACTAACGATTTCATGAACAACAGTACGTGAAATTTCAGGACATATTTCATAGAAATCGCTAATTGTCGAACGGCGATCGGAAAGACGATATTTTTCAATTTTGTGCACAATTTCAAGGATTTTCAACGATGGATGGAAGGACGGACGTTCACGATGAAGAGAGAAGTGGACGGCCGTCTGTTGTGTCTGATAAAATTGTGTACAAAATTGAAGAACACCTTCTTTCACCGTTCGACAATTGACGATCTCCATAAAATGTGTCCTGAAATTTCACGTTATACTGTTGTTCATGAAATCGTTAGTGATATGAAGTTGGCGTGAGTTTTATGATGCTGACATAAAAAAAAATTCGTCCCACGGCTGACAAAATGTGCTATACGTAATAGCATATTACGAATAAACGAGAACAACACAATTCTTTATTTTTCCGTTTAGTATGTGTGGATTTAGTAGATGTAGATACATTTTATTGATTCCCCTTAGGGTTACAAAGCATGGTCACTAATTAAATATATATCCTTGCAACATTCAGGTATCAAATGTTTTTTTACATTAACAACACCTGTAAGTTTCGTTAAAATATATGCCTTTTTGAATTAAAAAAAATGTTGTAACCATACATCTCGGATATCCCTCGTATATGATAAAAATCTGGAGGTGTTTCAGATGTCATTCAAAATGAAAAAGCTCTCGAAAGTCTTAACGGACGCTCAGAAATTTGAACTTTATCGCTTATAATTATCACCCCATTACTGCTTCGTATATCGTTTCGCATATCAATTGTGTTCGATACTTACCGTTCGAGCATCTGAATTCGTCAGACTGGCACCGCCAGTTCTCACAATCGCGCTCATCGCTGCCATCGTCGCAATCCACGATCTTGTTGCAAACCAGGTGTCTCTTCAGGCACTGTCCGTTGGCGCAGCGAAAGTTACCCGGGCAACCTTCCGCCTCGCAGTTCAGTTCGTCCGAGCCGTCGGAACAATCATTCTCGGAGTCGCATTTGGCAGATTGTGGCACGCAATATGCACCATTCCTGGACGTTCCGTTAGCGCATTGAAATTGGCCTGTGGTACACTTCGAGAGGATTCCGGGAGACGGAATTCCCGAAGAACCGCTAGCGGTGGTACTCTCGACCTTCACGTCCAACGATGAAGTTTGCGCGGTCACGATCGGCTGTTCCGTAACGTGATCTCCTTCCGCTTCCTCGACGTCACCGAATAATTGATCCGACAAGAAGGTGACGTCTTGCCCAGCCGTTTCGTTCGCTTTTGCGTTGGCACGGCCTTCGGCTGTCGTCTCGTTCGCCACTGTGCTTTCCGCATCGCCTATATCCGATACGATCATGGGACGAGTATTTCGCATGATTACGTACGGCTCCGTAACTGGTACCGACTCTATTATCTCTTCCGACACGGGTATGAAGCTGGGGTAATTCTTAGGTTTCGTCTCCGCGATCGTGCCTCTATTTTCGCTCCCAGTAGCTTTCCATTTCGATATAGGCAGGATGTTGCCTTCCCTGTCAGCCACGGTGAACCTGGGTACATTGAGGTCCAAGTCCGAGCTTACCACGCTGTCGCTCAGTTCGTCGTGGTCTCTAGTGGTAATTGACGGCTCCGTTTGGGAAAGAATGGTCGAATCGGATCTCTCGGTTAAAACGTTATCTTCATCTTGACTCTCCAGGCTCAGGTCTTTCTCCTTTTTGTACTTGTACTTGTCGAATCCCTTCTTGTCGATTGGTTTCTTCTTGCTCTCGGGACTCTTCTCCAGCGGTATCACCCTGAGCGCCTCTTCAGACAGTTCCAAGTCGGGTATCTGTCTTGGCGGAATCGTGGTGAACAACGATCTGTAATCTATCATGGGTTGCGTGTCGTCCAGCATTTCCGTGACCGGTCTGACGTCTTCCGTAGTCGTGACAGGCATAGGCGAGGTTCCTTCCACGTCACTCGCGATATGTTTTTCTGTGGTCATCATAAGAGTAGTCTCAATCTTTGCGCTTTCCGTCGAACTCTCAATTTCCCGCCCGTTTCCACCGTATTCTGTTCCTCGACCAGTTCCTAAGCTTACGTTATTCTGGTACATCGTTGTCGCTGCCATGCTTCTCTCCGATGTGCTATTAGTATCCATTAAGTCACTGGGGGTGACAGCATTCTCTTTCTCGGCTTCGTTCTTCCTCGTCTTATCATTAACATCATCTGTTGAAACCATTTTGTCAGTAACTTTCATTTTCTTGTCTTCACTCGGCATTTCCTCACTCAACGTTGTTGTTAACATGTCGCTTTCCGTCGTTTGCAGCTCCTCAGGTAGAATCGGGATTTGAGCTGTGGTCTTAGTCTCCAGCGTGGCTTGGGTTGTTGTAATCTGCGCTGCTGTGACAGCTTCTTTCTCGTCAGACTGGCTGACGTTCGGCGTTTCCGTATTATTCTCTTCACGTTTGACATCATCGATTACTGTAGTGATTTCAACTCTGTCGGTTGCTATCGTCGTGGATATTTCCTGCTGGATTTCTATAGGCAACACGGGTTCTTGAGTGGTCATTCTACCATCTTCCATCTGACTGTCCACAACGCCTTCCATCCTTGTAACCGTCGGGCCTTGTGTCGTATCGGAAGATATCTTCTCGTTCGTGTCATTTCTTTTCTTTATGACATCGAATGTAGTTTGCGACGGATCGTTATAAGGAATTTTTACCGAGTCAATATCCTTTAAAATCGCTTTCTTGGACGATTCTATCACTTTAACCGGAATGCCGGTATTATCGTGTCGATAACCCTTCGACAAAGTTTCATCTGTAATGTCGTTGTAGTGATCCTCGACAGCGTTTTCTTCTGGTTTCTCTGAGCTGGTCACACCGCTTTCTATCTCAATACCAGCTTTTTCCTTTACTTTCTTTCCGACAAAAGTTACATCGTTCTCAGCAGGTTCCGTTTTCTTATCTACGGGTTGTATTGTAGTTTGAGAAATTGAATCTACCGATTTATCTTTTATCGTCAATGGAATCACTTTCAACTCTTCATCGTTATCTTTGAAGAAACCGCTATTTTTCTGACTTGTAATGCCTTCTGTCCCATTATTACCAACTGATTTCGCAGAACTGTTTTGATTCAACATATTCGGAATTTTAGATTCCGTATCATTGGCAATTTTGCTGACACTTAAATCCTCAACGGGATTACGTGCATCGTCTGTCGTATCCAATTTATGATCCTGTGCTGTTTTCTTCGTGGTATCTACGTTCCTTTCGTTACTTGTTGAATGTGAATTAACGTCATTCAATAAATCTTTGGTTTCAGTTTCGTTCACTCTATCTGCATTATTACGTATTAATGGCCGATGTGTTATCACATCATCGACGTGAGTTTCGAAAGGATTAGGACCGTCTTGCTCGTCTTTATCTAAGCGTGGCCCTTTCTTTATGCTTTCCTTCTCTTTATGAACGTCCGGTAAGTAGGGTGACATGTCCTCAACCGGTCGATCGTCGGGTTTCCCAGCGAAATGATCTACCGAATTTTCTGGGAATATTGCCGGGTGAAGGGGATGACTCGTTGAATGTTCCTGAACTTCGTCAGGGCGTGTCGCGTGTCTATTGCTCATAATATGTTCGTCGGAACGCATCGTAGTTGGATTTATTGCAGATTTTTTCACGTTTGTATCTTGATTATTCGTTACCCCGTTCTTCATTTCCGTCGTCGAGTTTTCTGCTTTCAGAGTTCTGTTCGTGGCTTGTTCCGGAATAAGTTGCGGAATTATCGCGTGTATCTCGACTGGTTGCTCGGATTTTGGTATCAGCATAATATGTTCGTCATCCGCGGATTTTACGATGGGTTCTCTCAATGGCTCGACGTTGTGGGCAAAATTTTTCGGTACTTTAGGAAAGACCGTTGTCGGCATATGTTCGATGACATTTTTCTCGTTCGAGTCTGGTTGCAACGCGGGTTCGGGTACGTGTTCTTTTTGGTATCCAGGTATTGGCTGAGTGAGCATGTCAGTTAAGGTAGTTTCTGGTATCGTAGTTGTCTCGCGTACTTTAGTATTATATGTTTCTGGATTTCTATTACTTACGCCATTTATTTCTATTGTATGGAAATGTCCAGTGAACGAATGCTTGTCATTCGTGGATTTAGTAGTCAATTCTGTATTTATCTCTACTGATATGATCGGCAGGGTAGTTGCCGCAGTAGTTGAAACAGACTGTTCAAAAACGTCTGAACCAGTGCTCGATTTTTGTTGGATTAAATCGCTGGTTGAAGAATTTTCATTCTGGATGCTGCTTAAATTTGCATCAGAATTTATTTCTGTAGTAAAATCACTTTCTTTAGTTTCCTGGAGATCAGGATTTTGTGTGAATTGCTCCGTAACTGATTCCTCGCGGTTCTCGGGTTTGACTGATATAACATTTACATTATCCTTCTGTTTTATATCTCCATAATTTAAAGTAGTAAGACCGGCTTCGGTGATTGCACTTTCAGTAATTTCATCATCCTTATTGGTAGACCGTGTCGTCGTCAAAGGTATTACTTGTAAGAATGAGTTATTATCTATTAGAGTTTCATTAGACTTGACAATTGTGGTCAAAGTTTTGTCGTTTTTGGAACTGTCACTTTTATCTATTAAATCGATAAAAGATTTAGGCATATCAGTCGTACTAGCATCGTCTGAAAATGATACCTGTGTAAATGATTCAGCAGACGTGCCGTCATGAGACGTTGATTTAACAGTGAATTCAGATTCGGTCATTTCAGTTTTTGACTCCAAATACGATTCCGTTGTCAGATAGTGCGACTCTGTTTTTGACTTAATCTCACTGTCTGTTTCGATAGTAGTTGCCGCAGATTCTGTGACAGGCATTAATTTCGCAGTAGATTCCCTTTCAGTAATAGCTTCTGCTTCAATAGCAGATCCAATTTCAGGAGCAATTTCTGTTTTTGCAGTGGGCTCTGGTTCAGAAGCAGGGTTTGGTTCGGCGGCGGGCTCTGATACAGCTGTAGGCTCCGGTTTAACAGTGAGCTCCAGTTGAGTAGTTATTTCTGGCGGAATAGTAGGCTCTGGTTCAGCAGCCGGTTCTGGCTCAACAGCAGGTTCTGGCTCAGCACTAGATTCTGGCTCAGCACTAGGTTCTGGCTCAGAACTAGGTTCTGGCTCAGCACTAGGTTCTGGCTCAGCACTAGGTTCTGGCTCAGCACTAGGTTCTGGCTCAGCAGCGGGTTCCGGCTCAGAAGAGGGCTCCGGTTCAACAGCAGCATGTTCTTCAAAGATAGTAAATGGTTGCACTGTTGGTTCCGCAGTAGATAATGGTTTAACAGAAGGCTCTGCTTCAGTGGTACTTTCTATTGAATGATGCGAATGTTCATGGTCCCAGTGAGAGTAATCATCCTCGAAAATACGTTTTGTCGTTGGTGTAGATTCGGATTGCTCTTCTATTGACACGTGATTAACATGTTCCGTCTTAGGCTTCGACGTCGACGTGTCAGTTTCTGTTGTTCCTGTCTTGACGTTCGTATTTTCCCAAGTATTGGGATGTCTGGGTTCGAAATCTACCGCGCTTGGGTCTCTACTTCTACCCTGAAAATCATTAATTGGTTCCGTGCTTGATTGCGGTATTACATCGTCCATTTCGACATTACTCAAATCGCTACCGTCCACACAAGTTTTGCCATCATGATGCAACGTTTCTCCTAAATTACAGATACATGTGAATATACCAACAGTGTAATCATATTTACAATTTCCAGTGCATTCGAGATTGCCGTGTTCACATTGGTCGATAAGCTTTCCTACGTAAAGTCTGTTTAAATGGTATTGTCCGATCATATTGCCATGTTTTCGTAATACATCTTCAATGTATTCCTGACTTTCTTTCGGGACATTCCCAGGTGGATGACTAATTCGGAATTTTATTTCGCCTTCCTTATTGATGTCGTATACTTTGATTACAGACTTGCCGCCCGCCTGTCGAAGAATGTTTCCTAAATGTTCCTCTATCTCGGCGCTTACTTGTCTGTATACTCGTGATTTGATGTCGTTGAAATCGTCATTCCAATCAAAGTCATCTAGTCTCAAAGTCCCGTCCAGGGCATTCGGTACAAAATTGAATAGCGTTTCGTCAGTTGTAGGCCACGGTGGGAAAGTCGAAGTTAAAGGTGGTGGACTTAACGGCGGATCCTTCACATACTCTTGACTCCCAGCCGTCTGCACTTCGTTAAATTGGCGAGTGTTACTTTCTTCCACATTCTCCAAGGGTTCCGTGGTCCCTTGCGTTGGGAATACGCCAGCTAAAATGTGTACATTTTTCATCTCGGAACAATTTTACTTTATATATTTAAAAAATAAATACCTGATTCATTATATTTTTTGTAATATTATAGACGGTATACATACAACTATTTACAGAAATAAAATTAAGTTAAGAGAATGAGAAGCTGTCTTACTTGCAGCTAAAATGGCGATAATCACGGCAGCCACTATGACCAATAACGCCAGTCCCCAGGCTAGTCTTCTCCATTGCGAATTCCTGGATCTCTTGTCCTTCGTGACATAAAGTTTCTCGCCTCTGCAACACAATTTCGTCGCTACATAGAGATGCTGCGAATCGTTTACAATGCGTGTAAATGTCTTCCTTATTCTAAACCCAAAAAGCGTATTTTATACAGCGCGTGTAACGCGATTCCTAGTGATCTTCGTCAATGACCAGCCAATGGGATTAGAAGCTTCCTTGGTCGCACCCAGTCTAATGCCCGCTTCGTGAATGCCTCCTAATCTCCGGATCATGTATCATGTATAATGCGTAGGCGTCGCACTCTCTCCTTGCTTAGGTATCTTCGATTAGATCTCGGGGAACGACGATAATATGTCGCGGATTTGGTCTGATTGGTTTGCGGCACTACACTGCGGGATTAATCCTGATCGGTTAATCAACGGTGATTCCTACGTTCGTAACAGTAGACAACATTTTCTCATTCGGAGAAGCTGTCTCGGCGTCGATAGGACACGAGACAAAGGGCGAATTCTTGGACGTGCAGGTTTTTTTTACGAAGAGATTTTCATACTCGATTCGACACGGGGGAGGACTGATAGCATAAGCGTGTTAGTGCGCGACCGCGTGCCCCTAAGAGACACCTAAAGTATATTCCATACTAAGACAGTTCCCAGCTGTATACTGTTTTTTTTTCCCTCGAAAGCATCCGTCAAGTACCTGAGGGCTGTCAGCCAGTGGGAATAGTCGACCAATCCGGCGGCGGGATCTCTCAGGCTGAGTCCCTCACGGCCGACACCGGGGCCCAAATCAAAACGCACTCCAGCTACGGTAGTTTCAACCTCGGCTTCGGGACCCCTGCTAAGTACCGTGACAACAGAAAACACCGTCTAACTCTCTAGTCTCGCCGTGGGGCTTTTCGATCAACAGCCTGGCCAAGCTTTACGTGCTATCCGCTGGTGCTAAAAACGGTTGCTAAGGCATCTCTCTATCGCCTGACGATCCCCTCGGCAACGGAACACACATGTACGTTTCTTTCTAGGAAATATACCTCTACACACATCGTGTTCCCCCCTAAATGTTTTCACCGCAACTCTGTGACATACATAGCGCTCGCAGTATGGTTATGCTAAAATGGATATTGAAACGAATGTAATTATTACGCGCTATTATTGCCTCCGGGATGTATCTAGTAGTGTCAGTATGTTTAGTTCACGTGGCAAATTAACATTCTCGCGGCTAACATTTTGTCATGCGCAATACTGCATTTTTTTATCTGTGAAAAGGGTCTTCGAGTGGAAATATCTTGTAGGGCAATGACAGCGACCGTGATATCCGATACGTGTATGTAGTTGGAGAACGAAAGTCCTAAAAACCGTATGTTTTTCTTTATCTCGTTCCTATCGTGTTTCCTACTTCTAAAATTTGGTAGTATTCACGCACGCTGGGTTGGTAGTCCCGTAAAATAGTTAATAAGAGTTAGAAGGCGGGGCTAGAAACGAAATAAAGAATGCGTAAGCGCCAGAGACTCGTTCGCTTCGACAAATAACTCGTTACCTGATGTACTTTCGATGCTCGTTAACCGGCACGAAGTACTCCTCGTAAGGATCAGCTGGTACCTCACAGGCTTCCTGACCCTTCGTTTGAATATTGTTGCTCGTGTACGGCCTCATCGACACCAGTTCCAGGTTTACGGCCTCGATCTGCTCCTTCTTTCCGGACTCTACGGGAAAACGGAAAACCGTTTACCATCGCGGCATATCCGTGCGTATGGTGCAACCGGTTCTCATTTTCCGGTCACACACGAAACAGCGGAGAAACCGCATTCCGCGAAATAGTAATGAGGCTAAACAGGACCGAGTTTCCTGCTTCTTGCATAGCATAACGAGAGAAGCGAATTCGCACGAAATACGAGGATTGTATGTTAATAAGAGGTACATAAACAAATAATTAATGAGAAGGAGACGGATTAATGATTTGATTTTATTTAGAGATAAGGTAAACTCGCCATTACTGTCGGTACTGTCGAATACACGCGCAAGATCGAGTGTCGAGGTGAAAAGATGATCAGGGCATCGTGTATACGGTAACAATCGCGACGCGTGTCAACGGATTCACCGTGAAAAATCCCGGATGCGGCACTTCCTCGGATTTTACCGGCCATGAACGACTTTTTCTCGACAAACCGGTAGTAATGCCGATGCTGGTAATTAATGATTGAAAGTCTCGCTCTCAAATCGTGTCCTACGGGCGACGGAAATGGAAGTCGATAAGCTCTTCTATAACGGTTTCCTGTGCGATATCTTTCCTTCTACTCGTACACATCTGTCTCTAGGGACGTGTAGTTAACTCAATCTTTTAGAAACACAACTACGATATCAATAATTATCAAACTCTTGCCTCTTGCTCATAATGTTTTAAGTTGGTAGTCATGTAACGTGTTCATGCCTTGGTCCATGTAATAGCGGAATATCGTGTAGCACTGTAGGTACGTGATGATAACTGTTAGAACTCACCGTTGACCTGCACGCTCGTAGCACTGTTGTTGAGGAAACTCGCGTCGTTGTTATTGCCATTCCCGTGGACGCCATTAAGCTTCGGTTCGGGCACGCTCTTCTCCGTATTATCGGCCGGCACCTCGATTCTCGTTTCCGTTTTATAACACGGCTCCGAGCTCGGCTTAATGGGCTCGACGTAGTGCTGAGAGATGAAGGATCGCTGGTGGCCATTTTCTACCGGCGCGCCGTCCGCCGAGGACTTGCGATCCTGGTTCAAGGCCGCTTGCTGCTGGCCGCCATTCTCCAACTTGGAACCGCACTCGTCCTCGTTGGCGAACGCCGGATTATCCGTGCCGGCGGCATCCGACATCTCTCGATTGCGTCGCCGAAAGCTGCTGAACCCTCACCTGATAACGCCCGCCTGGTGTCGTCTGTCATGCGTCTCGTTTCTGTAATCAAGTTACCGAAATTATGTTTCCCGACAATTCGTCGTTGAACAGTTTCAGTTACTAAAGAATAATTTTACTGCAATTTTATTACGATCATTAGAGTGTTCATGTAAATGGACGTTACGGGGAGTTAAAAAGACTATTTCGACATCCATTCTACATCGGCATAAAAAGCTAATTTGACTTTCAATTCGTGGCCGGGATCTCCTTTGCTGAAATTTATTCAACTCTTTTCGCACATCTCGCCAAGGTTGCAGCTAGATTACGAATTATCGAATAAGCTCGCTTAAATTCACTTTTATTGAGAACTATCATAGAGCTTCAGCTGTCGGGCTGCGAAATGGTCCATCAACCACCGTCTAACGTGGATCCACGCCAATGACGTCAGCGGTAGAGGCTGACTTGTTGGTTTCTCGCACGAGATGAGCGAGGGAGATGCGAAACCCGTGAGAGAGAAACGTCCCGCGCGCCGGCGTATCCTACCGATATCCTTGCGGGACGATTTATCGAACCTGTTCGTCGAACGCAAAAATCAATTACCTCTTAACGCTGACTCAATCGCGGCGAGGGACCGCTAAAAGAGAAGAAAGATGTTTGCGGTCTGATCGCATCGCCCGCGATTGTTTCGCCCGCGTTGCGAGACATCACGAGTGAATCAGCAGCGACTTGAATTAGAGGTTTGCTCGCGAATCGCGATGAGAAATTTCGTGAGAAACATCTTCCGCCGCCGGCAAAGACGAATTCGCCATAGTCCGCCTCTCTCTCTCTCTCTCCCTCCCCCCTCTCTGCCCCCCCTCTCCCTCCCCCCTCTCTCTGTCGTCCTCATCTTCTTCTCCTCCGCGCGTTTCCTGTGAACCTCCCTCTCTCGGTCCCTTGCGCAGCAGTCTATTTGGTTTATTTTTTCGACTTTGAACGGCGTCGAGCCAATAAACTTCGGGATCCACCACCAGAGAAAAAGGAACAGCGGGGTTTAACCCCTTCTAACCGCCGCCAGGCTCGACAATATGGAAAACATCGTCGTTTCTTTCGAAGTACCCACTTCAGCCGAAATGAATCTCTTGGAATGTTTAAGAAACGAATGAATGCGTGTGCTCTAATGAGCTCTTCATCCAGCGAATACTTCGTTTCTTTGTTGCCCGATATAAACGAGACCTTATTCCATTGTAGTATTATTAGGTATAGTTATAGATAGTTATGCAATTGAACGCGTGCATCGCGCTGTTATATAATGTACGGTGCGTAAATCTAATCTGTTTACATAAAGTAGACGAGTAACGATCTTGACGAATAAGGACACCCGGCAACGCAATCCTTTCTTTCAACGTAAGAATGTGAGCCTCATGTTTTTTAATTTTTCGGCTTCTTAATCGGATTGAGAGAAGATGAAAAGTTGCTTAGCTCTATCGCATGATTTATCAGATGGTCTTTTCAAGAAGCGATATTCAATTTACTTTGCGTTTCAGCACGCAGAAATAAATATTCCGAAAAGTCCTCGTGGAGACTCGTCTTACGTGTCCAAAATTAATTCCGCACGAAGCACGATTTCTGATCGCACGGATTTAATCTTATCTCACTCTTCCGAGACGAGGCGGTGAGTCAGTTTGAAAATACCTAGCTAGCTCAGTGGTACTTGACTGTTAGTTACGCGGCGACTTTCAGGATACCCTATAGGCACTCGCTCGGGACCGGCGAGTGTGTTTGCGAGTGTACACACAAACCGTCGGAGGTGTATACTGCACCGAAAGTGGTTGACCCTGAGAGCGCCCGGCACAAAGGACTGATTCACCCCGGAGCCAATGCGGGGAGTCCTGCCGAGGAAGAAGCTCGGCGCTCACCCGGGTCGATTCTGTGCAGGATACTTCCTCCGTGACATAATCCACGGAGACAGTGGCATATTAATGTTTTTTTAATCTGAGAAACCGTGTAACCGCAAAGATTCACTCTCGGATACTCCGAGCGACTCCTACTGACGATTCGCATCAGAAAGTCTTAAGGCGCCATTTTTCTACTGAACGAACAGTAAATATTAACTGGATTGTCGCAGAATTTTTTATGTACGAACACAGAACTTGCGTCGATGGAAGTCATGTAACAGGAAGCTTTTATCTTTTATAATTTTATTATAAATACATTGTTCGTAAGACGAGTTCTGGTTACTGCACGTCGAAATAATGCCGATACGTTGGCGTTTTTAATGCGACAATAATCGTTGCGTGGAATCAACAATCTCTACCATCGCTTTGTTTCATCATAGGATATTTCCGACATACAATTACCTCGGGAATGATGAATTAAATTCTCGTTGAGTTAATTTCTACTTTATCATTGGACAATGTTAAGTTAATTACATATTTTGTCACGCTACCGTCTCGTTTTCATTCCATAATACTACGCGTACGGACGAATCTTGTGCACTTCAGTGAAAGTGTCTTATATTCGTAAAAAAAGTGCAGTCATAATGGTGCAGAAGTGCCGTTCGGTATTTCTGGTTTCTCAGGAGAAGACACAATTAAATGTGGTATGTAGCGGCAAAGTAATGTGCATTTTAACGCGCTACTAAAACGTACGCACTCTCTACGAATTTTTAAACTCACTTTCCTTAAAACATAATTTTATTCTATAATTCAGAGTGAATTTCTAAATTATTTAATGCTTAATATCACTTAATAGTTTCTTATAAATTTTTGATAATTATTTCATAGAAAAAAAATCTGAATATATCATCTAGAGATGATTTAAAGTAGAAAGTATTTTAAAACGAAACTCTCGTTAGGCAGCCGAGCTTCGTAAAAATATCCTTTGTACATGAAAAGTGATATTCTCCGATCGTTGGGATAAAAATTGCAGCTCGTCGTGAAATTCGTGTGACGCGCTAGAATTAATCCGCCTGGAAGGTGTGCATATACGCGCGGCGACTTGACTTGCGCTCGCGGATAAACGTGAGATAATTGTACGTTAAAAGTCCTGGAGGCTCTCGAGATAGACATCTACACACCGTGGCGAGGAAATCGCCAGGAACGAATCTGTATCGTTGCTGGACCGTGCCGTGAAAAACAATGAAAAAGCATACGAGTCCACCGCAAAGCACGCGATAATCCTTGAGGCAGAAAAGGCTCCTTGCTGCTCGTCGTTAAAGGACATTCTCCAACGACATTGCCTATAATTTACGAGACTCGCCTGCTGATACCACGAAGTCTCGCTCTACCGAGCTCAAAGACTTTCACCTTGATCGCAATCGCGACGGAATCTTGCGTAACTTTTCAGCATTATCTATGCACACCCGCGATTCGGTCAAAATCAAATTACTCTGTGACGCAACGCGCGCTTGCTATGAAACTGTGGAGGACACGGTCCGTCCGAATGCCATACACATAATTACGCCAGAACGGAAATTGTGTCGTATCGCATACGTCACACTTATCGAGTACGGGAAGAAAATGAAGTAGTTTGTCATTAAAATAAAATTCTACTCGAACTTGCGTCACTTTCTTTCGGCGCAAAATCTTGATGCGCCATGGGAACGTATTGCGTCGTTCAATGCAACGTCTATGCTACTTGAGTGCATTGCATTACCCAAGGCAACCTCTGTATTAAAATTAATGGACAATGAGTTTACGGTGCAAAATGACCGTAGGATTCACGACGTGAGGGCAGCGTGACAGGAAGGTGTCCACCTTTTCCTGCGTTTGTTTTCATTGTACAACAATCCGTCATTACACATCGCGCTGCTATGTTTTATCTTCAGCGTTAAATTATATATTCAGCCTGATTCTACGTGCTCCATTCCTCGAGTGACCGTTTTCCATTAGAAATTCGCATCGGTAGCCGGATCAACAACGATGTTCCTTAATCGATAAATGAGACATTCGCAAGGATCGTTCACACCGGAACGGAGGATTATCATCGCGAGTCGAGCCGATCAAAGAATCCTGCGTAGTTT